CTGTTTGAGAGGTCTGAACTGAAGATTATGCAATTAAGCTGGTTTAGATCGATGTACGAGACGCTATGTATTTATATATCGGCCAAGTACACAGAAACAGCTTCAGGTGGCTAAAGATTGCTCTAGTAAATACACCTACTATATAAATTACTTCTTTTTATCTCTTAACATACACCATACTTCGTCTCTAAAATCAGACTGCTCTAGTAAAGATTGCCTCTGTCCCAAAAGGATCCTATGGAAGATAGCTTCATATACATATATATATATCAAAGAAACTAGCTAGCGTTTGTAATTAACTAATTAATTGTGAATGGCATTTTTCTTTTAATTGGTCCCCACGAATACTCCGAAGAATTGTGGACCATATATATATATATATATATCAAAGAAACTCCACTTAACCAATACGACTGGAAGTCATAGTCCCGTAACCTTTTCTTTTTGTTTGATAAACATCGTGAATCGTGAATGAAGACAAATTTGAAACTGGGGAAACCAATAGAGAATGACTAAATGAAGGAAGGGGTCCATCATATACATAAATCAACAACACAGCCATTTGTCATCCATCTTGGACTCGAATAATACAGGTTTCACAACTCCTCCTAGAAACTTGCAAACTAAATTGATTTGAAGGATATAGTGTAAATAGACCTGTCTACAAATGTCTCACCCATCTTGACTTCATGACTTGATTTATCGTATTGCATAGGATTCAGAATCAGACACATCTACAAATGTCTCACTTTATGTTGCATACATCTTGATCAAGATTCAAGAAGGCACTTTCATATATCTAAAGGATACACTTGGGCCTTCGTTCCATGTTTTTTGCATTACATCGTAATTGTAAATTTGAGAGATTTGCCTTCAAAAAGAAAAAAACTTACAATATTGGTGGAGGTTGAAGCCTCGTATTATAACTCGGTCTTCCGATAGGAGATATTCTCAATACACATTGTAGGACATTGTGGGACGCCCCTGAACTCCTGAATGAGTTATTGAGATTCCATCGATGTTTTGTGATCCAGGGACAAACTAAAACCCTTTATCTTGTGGACATAATGACCATGTTGATTAGACATTGGGTCAGTTTGAAAGGAATACAAATGCAATTATGTAGAATGCAAAATCTTGTATTTTATATTATTTTAATTATATTTATACTGTACTAATTTGCATTTGTACTCCTTTCAAACTGAACCTAATAAATTTTGTGAAATTTCTTATAAACATTTTCTCAACTCTTTTTTTTTTTATTGTCTTATTTTAATTTACCCAACACAGCCTATCATATGCCATAGCCTTTTCTTTTAAATCATCAATTTATTGATCTCAGGTAATAGACCTCACAGATGTCACTCACATAATTTGGAAAAAATGCAGAAGTCTTATCTAAGAATCTATGAAGAGATTATGCTGTTAAGACATATTATAATTAGCGGTGGCAATTGGGTGGGTTGGGTTGGGTTGGGTTTGGGTTGAGTTTCTACCCAATTTATATAATCTGCCAACCTGTTAATGATTCAGTTATATAAAATTAAATGGGTTGAGTTCAACCCAAATCCGCTTTAACCCAATCTAATCCACCCAAACCCATTAATCTTATATTTATGTAATTAAAAACAAAAAACTAACTCTCTTTTAACAAATAAGTTGGTCATACCTTAATAGCAATAGTAATTGCACTTTACATAAGTGGTGGAGGTTCAAATCACATTACATCTATGTTATTTTTACACAAGCAGCAAAGCTATTTAACTATGTTCGGATTTCGGATTTGACAAACCACTTAGGTTCAAACCGATCAGACCAACTTGAACTATCTAATTGAATTGCCTTCGAGCTAACCACATCAAGAGTGATTGAACCGTTTAGAACTGGTTCAGCCACGGGTGGATTTACTTGGGTTGGCTCATGTCAGGTTTGTGCACGAGATTGGGACCGAACCGATTGGCCCAAAGCGGGTCAAGAGAAGTAAATTGGACCAAACCAGATTCGAGTCGAGTTGTATGGATACGAACCAGATCGGACAATCCAAACCGGGTAAAGCAAGCTGGGTGGGTTTAGGGTTCGGATCCCATCCGGCCCGACCCGTTTCGGATTTGGGCCGATCCGAAACAGCTTGTATTGGGTCGAGTCAGGCTGTGTGAATAATGATTGGACCAAACGACCCAAAGTGGGCAAAGCAAGTGATACTGAACCATCCCATCCGGGGTCTATTTCAGATTCGGGACAGCCCGGATCGGTATATGCTGGGTTGGGTTAGATCGCGTTGAACTGATCCGGACTCGGGTCAAATTGATTTGGATTTATGTTGGGGTGAAATGTGTTATTCAAGACAAAACTAATTTTAATCACTAATTAATAAAAAAATAATGCATCAATTATAAATTATTTAATTCAATTGAAGAGAACTAAAAAAAAGAGGTTAGGAATTAATACTTATGTCTGTGATGGTTAATCCAATGGTTATCCACAACCCAACCCATTTAAATGGGCGGGTTGGGTGATGAATTGATCACACAACCCACCAAGTAAATAAGCGAATTGGGTGGGTTAGATTCTGGGTGGATTGGGTGGGTTCAGCGAATTGGGTGAAAAATTGCCACCCCTAGTTATAATGTGCCGAAAACATTTGATGAACTTTGTAAAATGGAGGCAAATTTCACATCCACAATAGAGTCAATACCTTTGGTTACGTTCTAACATTAAATACTTATGATCCATTTAGCTCCCAGGGATCCGAATCAAAATTATAATGAATTATTCCTCTCACCAATTTGGTTTAGATAAGAATTGAATTCGAAATTAGAATCAGCTGGAATGGATTCTCATTCCCAAGGAAGGATGAGGGAATGACAATTTTTCTTCAAATGACGAAATGCTATTCCACGAGGAATGGAAATGGGATTCCCATTCCACTCAAATAATGTTTAAATCTGAAATGGATCATTCCAATTCTGATTCCAAACCCGTATACCTGCAAACCAAATGGGCCCTTAAATAGTCCTTTTAGTCTTGCATCTATTTAAGGCACATGTTGCTATAGTGGGCCATAACAGTCATTTTACTCAACTTGAGTTTGAGTTATTGTCTCACTATAGACTGTAGAATTTGTGTAGAAGCGTGTTTGTAATTCTAATCCCATTCGTGTTTTAGGGTTTGGGGGATAATGGTTGACTTCAAAAGAAGATCATCAAGCCATTGCAGAGACATTTCCATGCATTTAAAGCAAAATCAATCAGGAGATATTTCACTTTACCTTACTTTAAAGTTAATTCTTTAAAGCAATGCATGGTCGCAGAAGTGGTACTCATTATACACAGGTTTGAATGATGTGGTTTATATTTATTTGGTTATCACAAAGGACCATAGAAAAATGGATGTAGGATATATAGACTTGTGTTGTAGATGGTTTTGTCATCAATCTACATTCTCTCATTTTATCACCAATGGAGCTATTTTGAGGTTTTTTATATATGATTCTATTATTTTATCTTTTGTAGTTTTGTGGAAGGTTTAAAATATCAATAAGATATGTTCCGTCTAAGAATGGCATAATACAATTCCATTCTTGTGTATTGACATGATACATATAGGTACCAGTGTGTATTGCATTGTATCAACCAATATGGACCAATACACACTGATGTATATATCTTGAGCATATGATTCAAACGTACGTTAGATAGTATATGCCCTTAACTCTAATAAGATTTATATCTATTAATTGAGTTTTATGAATCAATAAAATTAATTCATTATTTTTTTTTATGTTCAAATTGGTATTTTTTTTGTGAATTATCCTTAAATTGGACATCTATGAGACTTACGTTAATTTAAAAGGTTATATATCATTGAATAAACCTAATTAAAGAATTTATCTTGACAAAACTGATACTGATGTTTTGGTAAATACATTGTTAAATAAGCAGTTTTCAACAATGTTTTGGTAGAAACCCAAAACAACAATTTAACTGCACAGTGTCCATATTTCTTGAAACTGCATGCAGAAGGGCTGTTCACGGGTCGGGTTGGGTCGGTTTACTGTAGTTTTTCTAACCGACCCGACCTGGTCGGGTTACCTAACATACAAACCGAAACCAATCCAGTGTTAAGCAAAACCGACCTGGTCAGTTTGAGTCGGGTTGGATCGGTTTCGGTTCTAAGTTCATCCCTGTGATAAAATCTTGCTAATTTTAAAAACAGTCATAAATTTGAACATCATTTCAGCCATCTCCTATGATAAAATTTAAATGAAAAGTTAATCACAAAAATTGTTCATTAATCACTATTCACTAATCCAAAGTTTCTTGCAACCATTCAAAAACTAGGTGGCTTAATGGGCTTTGAAACTTCATGTTTGAAGTAGGAACTAAGTCGGTTCGGTTCGGGTCGGTTTCGGTTTCTTGTATAAAAACCGAAACCGACCCAAACCATCAGTTTAGGAATTTACACAACCCGAAACCGACCCGTACTGATGAAAACCCGGCCGACTCAGGTTGGATTGGTCGGTTTGGTCGGGTTTGGCCTTCTTATGAACAGCCCTAGCATGCAGCGTTCATCATTAGTGGTTTTGGATTAGTCTAAGCCCTTTTAAGTAAACTGCAACCCCTCCAAGATAATGAGACATTGACTTTAATAATTATTGGAGACTCAAAGGACCAAGTCGGGGTCAAAAAATGAAGATGCTGATCATCATTGTTGGGAATAATTTATTCAGAAGAGCTATTGAGAGCTAATCAGCGTCCATGGCCTCCTCCTCCCTTCAGTCCCTTCATTTGGAAATGGTTGTTGTTTGTATGATTTTGGTTTTGGGGTCTAGTACTGTAGTAGTAGTTGCATCTTCTCAACCATTCCCCGAAGAAACCCAAGCTCTTCTCAACTGGAAATCCAGCCTTACAGAGGATTCACAGCGGTATCAACTGGAGTCATGGAACATCACTACGCTTTCAAGCCCATGTGAATGGAAAGGAATACATTGCAATGAGGCAGGAAGCATTACAAACATATCCTTTACACATGATTATTCTGATTACTACAGACTGGAAGGTACGCTTGACAGATTTAACTTCTCCTCCTTTCCAAATCTTGTCCGTCTCGACCTTCACAATCAATGGATCCGTGGAAAAATCCCCCATAGCATTGGATCTCTTTTAAATTTGGCCTACTTGGACCTGTCCAGGAATCAGTTTGAGGACACCCTACCTCTTTCTCTTGCAAATCTCACTCATATTTGACAATTCAGAATCTCTGAAAATTATCTAATAGGGGAAATAGATTCAAATCTGTTTGAAAATTGGACGAAACTCACCTACCTTGACCTATCCAGGAATAAATTTGACGGCACTCTACCTCTTTCTCTGGCAACTCTCCCCCAAATTTCACAAATCAAAATGTCTTGGAATTATCTAACAGGGGAAATAGATCCCGAGTTGTTCAGAAACTGGTCCAATCTAACTCATCTTGACCTCCATTCCAATCAGTTCACTGGGACTATTCCTCGTGAAGTGGGTATGTTGACCAATCTACAGCACCTAAACCTCTCAATAAACGAACTAAGTGGATCCATTCCGGACCAACTTCCAAACTACCTTTCTTTGCAGTACCTAGACCTCTCAACGAACAAACTAGGTGGATCAATTCCAGAGAGCATCGGGTCTCTTTCAAAATTAGTCTATTTGGACCTGTCATATAATCAATTTGACGGTACCCTTCCCCTTTCTCTGGCAAATCTCACCCAAATTTCACAACTCAGGATGTATGAGAATAATCTAACAGGGGAAATAGATCCCAAGTTGTTTGGAAACCGCAGGAAACTAACTCATCTTGACCTCCATTCCAATCGGTTCACTGGGAATACTCCTTGTGAAGTGGGTATGTTGACCAATCTAGACTACCTAGACCTCTCAGGAAATGAACTAAGTGGTTCAATTCCAAACCAACTTGCAAACTGCTCTGCTTTGCAGTACCTAGACCTCTCAATGAACAAACTAAGTGGATCAATTCCGGTGCAAATTGCAAATTGCTCTGCTTTACAGTTCCTTTCCTTCGGAAATAACTATTTGACTGGTGGAATTCCTTTACAGATTGATGCTCTAGCAAATCTCCAATATCTGGACTTCGCAAATAACTTTATCGAGGGAAAGATACCAGTACAGCTAGGAAATCTGACACATTTAACCAACCTAAATCTCTCCCACAATAAACTTTCAGGCACAATTCCAACATTTCATTTACAAATATCCATCTCCCAATACATTGATCTATCTTACAATGATTTGGATGGTCCTGTACCTAGTGACTTGGGCCTTCCTGAATTTACCCTACTTGATCACAACAAAGGTTTATGTGGTGAGCATTGGGGCATTCCACCATGCAATACAACAAAGAAAGAAAGCAAAAAGGAAAGCAAGAAGGAAAGCAAGTTTGTCATCTCTATTGCAGTCTCTCTTATTGGCACCACATTTCTCGTATTTGCAATTGTTGGAGCTTTCCTCCTTTTCAAAGGCAAAGCAAGAAAGTCACAAATTGAGACAAGAATAGCAAGAAATGGAGATCCATTTTCAATTTGGAATTATGATGGGAAGATTGCATTTGAAGACATCATCCAAGCAACAGAAAATTTTCACATAAAATACTGCATTGGCACGGGAGCTTATGGTAGTGTTTACAAAGCAGAGCTGCCAGGAGGTCACGTAGTAGCTTTGAAAAAGCTTCATAGCTTCAGAAGTGAGAGCCCAGCTTATCCCAAGAGTTTTAGAAATGAAGCAGAGATATTAATAAACATACGGCACCGGAACATTGTAAAACTTCATGGATTCTGTTTTGACAAAAGATGCATGTTTCTGGTTTACGAGTATATGGAAAGAGGAAGCTTGGCATGCATTTTGAGGAATGATGTAGGGGCTGTGGAATTGGATTGGGTTAAGCGCGTGGATGCTATCAAGGGTATTGCCCGTGCTTTGGAATACATGCATCATCATTGCAATCCACCAATAATTCATCGAGATGTATCAACTAATAATGTTTTGCTGAATTCAAAACTCCAAGCATTTGTTTCAGACTTTGGAACAGCTCGACTACTGAATCCTGATTCATCTAATAGGACTTTACTGGTAGGAACTTATGGGTATATCGCCCCAGGTATGCGTTGATATGTTAACATTCTATTTAATTTTGGTTGACCTGCAAGAAATGGGATTGTTCAAGTAGTACTTAGGGCTGAGTTTGGAAGGAGTACAAATGCAAATATGAAGAGTGCAAAACCTTATATTTTATAATTATTTTGTATGTATTTATGCTGTACATATTTGAATTTGTACTACTTTCAAACTGAGCCTAGAGGGAAAATTTTGGTTGTCTAAAACTCTAAGGTTGCATTTGGCATTTCTTATATTTTAAAGACTTATCCCTTTTTGCAATTAAATACCCATTGTTCCTAGGGGCAATTTAACAGTAAAAAGGAGCTAAGTCCTTAAAATAAGGAATACCAAATGTGAGAACCCAAGCTGTATGCATTGCTTAGTTAACTAATGTGTCATGTAGGAGGAGATTAGTTGAGAACCCAAGCAGTCCAACATGGTCATTCAAAGTTTTCTCGTAGTTTAAATTGATTGTCATGTGCTGGCTGTTTTGCTTATCTTTTTTCTCCTTTTTTTTTATTGGATTTTGGTACTGTTATGGCATTTGGGGGGTTTTCTTTTTTTTGGATTTTGGTACTGTTATGGCATTTGGGGGGTGTTCTTTTTTGGGGATTTTGAGAGGGGGGAAAGTTGGTCAATGGGATTTTAGTTCCCATTGATCAAGAATCCCATGTTCATTTTTCAGATTAATGTGGGGACCATGTTCATTCCTGGGTATCACTTACCTGGGTAAATGATACCCATCTTCTAGGTGGGTATATAACTTTCCCACCTAAGAGGAAAATTGCTAACACTTGAAGTTGAATGGGACAAAAATGCCCCTTTTAATAATGGATTTCTATGACTAAAATTGTTATTACCTTATTTACCTGAGAAATAAAAGAACATGGGTAAATAACTTACCAAAAAATGAACGGGGCCTTGATTGCCAAGTTTAACTTAAAACGGGGTTCCAAAAATACCTTTAAATAGGTAGATAATCAGGCATCCAAAAATATGACACAATATGCCCGATACAAGGCGCTATGGCCCAAGTATGGGCCTACAGAAGTCTCGGCCAATGACAAATATATTATATTCAATGTATTTGTAATATTTTATATTATATATATCATATGGGTCATTATGTATAAAAATATAATACAATGTAAAATAATACATACAAAATACACTCGGCCTCGGGCCTAAAGTATTGGGCCTAGGCCTGGCCTAGAAATTATAGGCCCAGACTGGCCTGGGCTTCCAGGCTAGAATACTAACCCCTACCAATTTGTTCATTGAGAACACCAGGATCCACCTCTTCTTGTAATACAATCAAATTCATCTTGCTTTCTAAAAGCAAATAGGAGAGTAATACTTTCAAATAGAAAGAGAAATTAGGATTTCAACACATTTATGATGTATGGAAACTAGACAATTTCTCCAATTACTTTGAACCTAAATTTTCTCATGAGTTTTCAAAATGACACATGCAATATTCATTTATCAACTTATTTATTTATTTTATTATTTATGTACTTATCCATTTTATTTAATTATTCATACAGAATTGGCCTATACTATGGAAGTGACTGAAAAATGTGATGTTTATAGTTTTGGAGTGGTGGCACTAGAAATAATAATGGGGAAGCATCCAAGAGAACTCCTCTCCTCATTATCATCATCAAGTACAAAGGATATACTATTGAAAGATGTATTAGATGCGCGTTTCCTCCCTTTCTTAGATGAATTGATTGTGCGGGATGTGGATTTTGTGACAAGCTTGGCACTTGCATGCTTACATTCCAATCCAAGGAATCGACCAACCATGCAAAAGGTTTCCCAGGAACTAAGTGGCCACCGGTATTCATTGCCTAAACCCTTCAATGCAATTTCACTATGCCATTTGACTGGCCTTGAAATATAAATTTGTGGTGTTGTTTGGTGATACGTTGTTACATTCAATATAAGACTTGATCTTGTTTAATAAACTATGCTTTTCATTTTACTAATTGTCTGTGGGTTGCCTTACATTCTAATTGCAATCTCAATAAAATTCTATTAGTTAAATGATGATTGGCTATGAGGTGATTTAACCAGGGTGAACATTTTGTTCAGGTAGTTTTAAAAGAACTGAGGTCTCGAGAAGTAATCCTGTTTGAAAGATCTGATTAGGGGCCCCCAAAGGTTGTTTCTCATGAAAGGTCATGAAATATGGAGCTAATAGCTATCGAGCAAAAATATGGAACAAAAAACTACAAAACCTAAGGCTCAGTTTAGAAAGAGTACAACTGTACCAATATAAATATATAAAAAATAATACAAAATACAAGGTTTTGCATTTTCCTTATTTATATTTGTACTTGTACTCCTTCCAAACTAATTAAGGTTCAATTAAAATATTCAGGCCTTCAGGTCGGACCCATTGAAATTTAGATAAGAGCCCAATCCAAGCCTGCCCAAGTTGTACCCCTAACCACACCACCGGGCAAAGAGGAAGAGTTCAAAACAAGACACCAAGAAAAAGGTCCAACAACGAGGCATAGAACATCGGTTGAGTTCTCCGTTCTATTTGAGGTTACCATATCATTTCTATAAGTTTAATTATTTGATGGGAATGCTCATATTAATAAACCAGAACCTTAACATGTCTATTATTCAATGGCTTGAATATTCATACAACAAAAGTAGTTCTTTTCTAGTTTTGAGCCAATTAGTGATGAACAAATTATATAATATTTTTCATGGGTTATTCAGTAACAGTACTCACATCTGAACATCACTCTTCAAAATAAACACCAAAAATGGGTAATTAAAAAAACATTTAGAATTGACTGGCATGGGTTAACTTAAAGGTGTCAATGGACCGGTTTTGGACTGGACCCCATCCAGTCTAAAATCAATTTGGATGGATTGGACGAACCAAAATGACATATTGGATTGGACCAATCCAGCCCAAATTATTTATTAGATTGGATTGGACCTGGACCATCTCTAATAAATTTATATTGGATTGGGTTGGATTAAGTCAATATCTGGTACATTGATATAAGATAAAATATAGGTGTCAATGAACTCGATTTGGATTGAAACCAACCTAAATTAAAATAAATTTGAATAGTTGGACAGTCTAGACGTTGAATTAGACCGGTCCAAAATGGTCCAAAATATTCATTGGATTGGATTGGACCTGATCTATTTGTAATAGACTCACATTGGACCAAATCCAGTCCAATTGACACCCCTAGATTAACTAACGTCTTTGATATAAAAAACCATTCTAAAGCTTATTTATATATAAAACAATAAGCATAAGCAGCAATTACAATGACTCAATCACATGAACCATTTCTGTTCCAAACTTCAGTATTGATTCTCAACTCTTTCCAAATACTTAGAAAACACAAATATATTTAAAAAGGTCCAGCAGATGGAGAGATGGCAGTTTAATAAGACTCTAACAAAAAACTTACCTATTGTCATCAAGCAACACTCTCACCCGTAAAGCAATCCTCCATTGTACCGCATGCACACACACAATTTCCCCAGTAAAGTAAAATTTTTTAATCTGATCGTTGCAATTGTCAATTACTAAGGGCATGTTCGTTTCCTCTTAACTCTTATCTCTTAAGAGGATTCGTTTAATTTTAAGAGAAAAATAGTTGTTCGTTTCTTCTTATCTCTAATCTCTTAAAGTGCAATCATACAATTTTTTGTTTTTCAATGATACCCTCAAAAAGACAAACAAAAACTCTAATATATGGGGTCAAAATGGATATTTGATAATTTTTAGAACTCAAAATTCAAAGTTCAGAACAACATTCTCTGCATTTTCCTTTGCCACTGAATTTGAATGTAGATAGAGTTTGTTTGCATGACTCCAACATTTTCCTTTGTTCATCACCCAAAACTAATGTTTGAGTTTGTGCAGCAGAACATATTGTCCACTTCTTGGATGGAGCAGAGATCAAACCCCTAAATCTCAAGGCATCTGTTTGAGAATTTGATATTACTCCATGTTCTAGATGCAGTTTCAGTTGTGAATATTTTGGAAAGTATGTTCTAACATCTGAATCGAAAACGGGGAAAAATGTACAAAAGTTAAGGATAGTGGAAGAAACCATATGGTAGTCAGAAAATGTACTTATGAAAATGGATACATGCAATATGCAAGCATGATCAGTACATATACAGGATGAATTTAGCACATGAGGGTGTAATCACTTATCACTAATATTCTGGTAAATGATGGTTCAGTCCCAATTACCAGCATTATGGGTGGTTCCTAGCATTGGAGTCTCTAGAAGTGAGCTTCAAAGGTAAGAAGCAGCATCTCACAAATTGTGAGGCATATCTTAGATAGATTAGGTGCCAAGAGCCCACCCCAAAATGATGTATAACTGCTAAAAGGCCTTGCTGCTATGTCAAAATAAGAAGGATAATTTGTGCTCCTGTATGAACAAGACTATTTAAAAACAAATGTATAAAATTGATGTCGGGGAATGGTAACACACAGTTCTCAGCAAACTTAGTTCGGACTCATGAATCAGTCCCTAAGCAAGCCATTAATCAGACCTTTCTCTTTTGGAACTCTTAAGTCACAGTCCATTGTTCGGTCCAAACCCATAATTCTTGCACATATCCATTCCCAATCTCAAACTCAATCCAAACTGATATTCATGATCAAATCCAAATGCATTGTTCATATGCAAATCCAAATTCATGATCTATATATCCATATCCAAAACTATATCCATGATCCACCCAACTCATAAATCTTGATACAAATAAAGAAGTGAATGCACCTTGGAAATTAAACTTCTCAGAATTGAAGATATAGAAATGACAACATTAATTTTTGTAAACTATAATCTGGCATTTCTTATGAATCAAGTCACCAAGAAATGTACAGAAAGTTGAAATTATGTTTTACTATACAGATTCACTAGGAAGGGTCCATTTCTTTCTCTCCAATTTGTTGTATTCTTTGAAGTTTTTTGTTCTCCTTGATCGAATTGACTCTATTGCATCTAAAGTCACTTCTTTGGAGTAGAAAGTTGTTGTAGTAGATGACAAACTTGACATTTTAAATACCAAGTTGGATGCCTTTCTTATAGAGAGGGTATTGTTATTGATGCAATATTTTCAAATGCTACATCTAATGGAGTGTCCCAGCCTACTTCTCTGACATCAAATTCTCAGCCCATTGTTCCAATGCTTCCCTCTATTCCACCTACTATGCAACAATAGTTTCAGCATAAAATTTCCTCCAATGTTCATATTGCAGAGGCTGCAAGTCAATAACAGATGGCTCCCCATCTGTTATTGAACCTACAGTATCTCATTCCAAGCCCACGAAGGAAACACCTAAAGAAGTGAACTAATTCCTCGAGGAACAACTTCAACAAGAATGTAATGACGGACTACCAATTAGTCTCTCTAAAGTTTTGATTATAGATCAAGAAGAGTTTCATCACATTCATACAGTGATTTCCATAGACCAAAAGATGATCTTTTATGATGCTGATTTCATCACCGTTGTGATCCATAGTATCGGGCCTATAGCACACAATGTGAAGCAATTGCTGATTCTTCCTTTCTTTAAAACTCGAGGATGAAATTTTTTGAATTGGGGGAGAATGATGCAGAGACAGAACAAGGAAAGAATTTATGAAAAAAAAAAACCAATATTCCAATTCGTATACCAAGTAGGAAAAATAATAAAATGTGGCTTGGTGAGCTTTCAAGTTTCAACACTGGTTAAGTTTAGATACTAGGAGATGAGGACTCTACTGATTTAGCATGCAGAAAACATTTTAGACTAGGAACACATATCTTTGATGCAAGTATCTACCATTCAACAAGTTAAAACTTATAACAGATTTGAAGCAAGGGAATTTGCTAAATAGGAAAGTGGGGACTTGCTCTGCTTTATTCTTAGATAACAAAGCCCACATTTTCTTTAAATCCCTTCTGTCATCGACTCATCATATTGAACATCAGGTTTTACCGTGCCCTGCTAATTACTACAAAAGATGAATTTTGTGATTTAAAAGGAGACTTATTCTATTTAAATCACATGGACCACCTAAATATGTAGTCCACTGTCTAAGGGACCTGAATATCAGGACCAAATCCAACCAATCAGCTCAAGAGATAGTTGAAACCAAGCCCATAGTTGTTCAAAAGCCCAGTAAGCCCAGTCCCTGCCAACTCCCTATCTAAGCCACATATTTCACAACTTTCATACTAGGAAGAATAAGATCTTAGGCTGAAAATCACGTATGAGGAGCAGCTAATGTATCAAAACGAGGAACAAATATGTTTAACTAGCTTGAATCTACCATGACGTCCAGTACTATTCTACATACCAAGATGGTGCATGCATTTATTCCAATCTGAAAGAAACATTAGCAACCATGAATTATGGGGTGGACCATCCTAATCAGGTGTGACTAGATATCAAATGAACTTAGATTATAAAAGTCTGATAATGCTTCTTAAATTCTTCCAAAATCTATCGTCTTTGGACAATATAGGTTGCCTTTTAGGCATAAAGACTATCCAGGCAAGAAGACCTTGACTATTTTATTAATTTTTTTCTTTTAATTTTCTTGATTATTAAAAGAAGACGATCTTGACCATGAAGTCAATAACTGATCACATTTTCCGCGTTGTAGGTTTGGAATGCAATTTCATTTGCATTACAAATATATGAGAGTGCAAATTCTGGTTCATCTCTACTTTGGGTTTTATTTTCATTTAGGCTATGTTTGGTTTGAAGGAAAAGGTAAGAAAAGGAAGGGAAAGATAGAGAATGTAAAGGTTTTCATACCTTTTCCTTCCTTTTCCTTCAAACCAAACATAGTCTTAGGTTTTATTTTACTCCATTTACACTTTAAACAGACAAAACAGTGTCACTTTTAAACCAAAAATAAAACAGAATTTGCATTCAATTAATTTGCACCGGTGCAAATGAATTTGCATTGCAAACAAACTAGGCCTTAA